AGCTGGAAGGTGGCACGTGGCTGACAACATTGCGTTTGTGTCACGAACTGAAAATCAAAATTTATCACCCATTTGCCGTGTCTTCGCCTTGGGCGCTGACGCGTCCCGCTCCTTATCGCATTTCCTGTGGCATGCAAGGCCAATTACATTGGATAAATCATGAGCAGCTCTCATAATTTATTCACTTTGATCTGTAGCATCGAATTTACTCTGGTAAATGCAATTAAACCGTATTAAAAACTCACATTTTAATGTCAAAAGATAATGCATAATTAAATCAAATTTTATTAAATTTATTAAGAATGAATCATTTTCTTCGCACTGCCGAAGATGAAATACCATTGCAGACGTGTTTAATACAAAAATTTAATTTTTGTAACATTTGTTCCTAAAAGAGACATACGTCCCTTTAGTAGGTTCACATGAAAGTATATTTCAAAATTAAAAAATATTGCTTGCAGTTTGTATATTCTCAAAAATGTTCTTAATAAACTCATTTATAATTATCGATCATAGAATAAGAAAGGAGGTATTTGCTCTGCATATGCTTTGCGAGAGTCTACATTCGAAATTTGAAGTCAAGAGTTCATATAGGTGTTATGCCTTCGTTATATTTATTTACACAGCTTTTTACACCCTTTTAAGCCATTTGCAATGCACTCAAGCAAATGTTGATGTTGTTGTAAGTTATTTGCACTCGGCAAGCCGCACAATTTCGGTATTAATTGTGCCACAGAGACGGTGACCGTGGCTGAAGCAGAGTCAGAGCTAAGGAGTACAGCAACAAATAACCAAAGAAAAGTGTTGTAAAGTGGCAACAAGTAAGTAAATTTGCCACACGATTGCACTATTGCGTACATGCTCGGTCGCGCACATGTGCATGCAGCATGCATTCCAGCCCATTGCCATTTTCATGCCGATTCCGCCATTTTTCTTCTTCTTCTTTTTTTTGCAGCCATTTCCCAAGAAGTGGTCCAGGTGTCATTTGCCATGCGCTCAACTTTTACGGTAAACTTTGCTCTTTTATTTTGCTGTCGCACAAACTTTTCATCGGCTAAGCCGTCGTTGAGACTTTTCAAGGTAGCAAAAGAAAAACTTTCCATAGACTCGATTTCTATTATTTTTTTTTTTTTTTGTGCCACATCATCAGCAGCAATAATATGTGTGAATGTTTGTGAGGCAGCCTGTGGGCATGTCCATTGTCCGCGGCTGGCACGTGCGGCACTTGCCGATGTTGCAGCTAGCCATCCATCAATTCAAGCTACATTTATTATGTATCGAAGTGGACATAAAGCAATTGCCAGTCTGAATTTATATACTTTATACTTTTTTTACACTCGACGCGGTTAAGGACGTGCCGTCAAGTGTGTCATCGAGGATTATTTGATAAGCTGGAATTTTGTTTTACATATTCACCTTTGTTTTCGGCAACCAGCTAGACAAATATCCGACTTTAAATTATTTATAATCTAATTACAAAAACTTATTTCAAGCCGTTTTTGCCAATTGAAGTGGTTCGAGTCCGCGCACACACATCCACATGCTGAACAGTGGAACAGTGCGGTGGAGCCCCGCAGCCATGCCACGCCCATATGCGACGCCCACCGCCAGCATGTGGAGATATGTATCATTTGCATTGTTGTACTTCACTTTGTATTTGCTGTTGCTTAAAACAAATGGCCCAAAATCAATTAAACTCAAGTGAACTTTTGGCTTGAAGGTGGATGGTCCTGTGCCTCGGCCTCGGCCTTTGCCTGTGAATCTGCCTCCGCCTGGGGCTGCGGCTGTTTCGGCTGATACTTGGGTTCATTAGCAAAAGACTCATGAATAATGCCAGTATAATTAATTGAGAACTCAGCAACAGCAAACAACACGCCAGCCAACGCAATGCCTTTTTCCTCCCAATGGGCCTGTATTCGTCCCAATGGATGCTTCGATTACTTGTTAATCATTCGCATTTAAGTTTCGAGTAAAACATTTTGTAACCAATCCCCCCGCTCACCCTGCCCTGCTCTCTTGGCCGCTGGTCATTTTTGCTGGGCGGTAGACGGACGTAAACCGATTTTAATCGCGCAGTTTTAATGCGAGACACTGGGCACAGCGGGCGGCAGCCTCATTACCTACTTTGAATAACCTCACCCTCACGCAATCAGCAATCCGGGCGCACGTTCTGTCAGCCTACACGACATTCGACAACGAATGTCTTTCATTTACGCGTAATAAAAACGAAATCTCCGCTGAACATTGGCCGCAGAGCGGCTTAGCAGCTCGCGGTCTTTAATACCCATAACTTATTGTTGTCGTCCCCATTGCCATTCCACGCAATACCCTGTAATGCAGCTAAGCCCCAACTTAATGGACTGGCATTACTTTTGTCGCTCAGCAACTAAAAGAAATGCAACGCTCAACAAAGTTTTCTAGCAATCGAGCGAGAAGAATTATATTTTATTTAAAATTCTCGCATCAAATAACAATTGAATTTTATTCAATTTGATTTGAGTACATTTAAGACCCGACTCGATGATTGTAAAGGGTATATTGTGGGTGTGGCATACCCCAAGAGCACACGGCCTTTCAACTCAGTATTGTTTTTTCTTGTTTCTCGTTATTCATCTTGTTTACCCTGTAGCCATAAAATGCTTTAAAAAGGCTGTCATCAAAATAAGCTAATGTATGTATGTGACAGCCATGATAAAGACGGTTCTTATACCAGACGACCTCTCGTCCATATACGCGCGTGCCTCATTGGTCTGGAGAAAATATAATTTATTTATCTAAGCTAAGGCATATTTCGACTAAAAGCGATCAAAAATTTATTTAGTGCAGAAGAGATATTCTGGTATGTGTTGTAAGCGTGAAGGTTATAATTAAAGGAATCTGAGAGGATCTTAGGAAAATAAGATATTTAAAACAAAATACCCCTTTGCCTCTCCAACTTCCTTGAATATACTTCAGCATGGAATGAAAATGTTCTGGAACCTTCCAAATACCGAAGATAAAAGCTATTTTTAAATTACAAACATTTTATTTAAAGAGTATCCACGTGTCGAGCACTCCCGACTATGGCATTCTCATTTGGTTTTTCGTATTTGTTATTTTTTGTGGCACTTGCTGTGCGCTCGCCCCGGCTTGCTGCCTCAAGTGTATTTTACTTTATTTTGTATTTAATTTACGGCCCACATGACTGTGCCTTTCTTCTACAGCAGCCCTCCCAGATTCTCAAATTTCGCATTGGCTCTGGCAAATTGGTGTGGCTGTTAATGGCATACAATACGTGTATGAGCCACGCACGCTGATTACAAAGAAGTACGCTTAAATATGCATGAGGCAAAAATATATTGAATTTAAGTGACAAAAAGCTCTGATCCGCCCCTCTCCGCCATTTCCTAAGCTTTAACTCACACACAGCATGAGCTCCCTTACTGACAGTTTTTTAAAGCAAAACAAATTTAAACATACCTTTTAAGACCTTGGAATAGTTAAAAAATGTGTAAAAAAAAAAGGGTATTTAGGGTTTGTACAAATGTAGCAGGCAGAAAGAGACACAACCCCATTAAGTGCATATATTTTTGATCAGGATGACGAGCGAGTCCCTATGTCTATATCTCCGTGTGAACGTTGAAAAACTCTAAAGGCTAGAGATTTTAATCTTGGCCATACACAAACTATATATTCCCCGTTACCAACGCAAGTTTATAATTTTTTCGATATCTCCTCATTTTCAAAATATCGATAAAAATCATTTAGAGCTAGATACACCAGCCTTGATAGGTAGGCCCTCGTATAGTATACACAGATGAGGAACATTTCTCTTTTTGAATACCTCCCACGATTCGTCCAAATTTAAAACGAACGAAATATACACAATTTGATTAGGGTATCTCCTGATCGGGCTCTCCCGACTAGAGCACTCTTGTGTTATTGTGTATGTGTGCGACAAAACAATTGAGAACATAAACATCATTTGCAGTTGCAGCGGCCGCTGCTGCATTACTTTCTACCGCGACAGCGCCCGCGACCGCCAGCAGCTTTGTTAAATGGGGCATTCCATTGTCGACAACTGTTTTGGGCATCCTGAGGCATTCATTGCATTTGACATCCCTATCAGGACAGTGGGCATATTGTGCCAGCAACTTATGCACGAATGTGCATACGCATGAAAATTAACTCGTACATATACAATCTCTTCCACATGGGATTGCTTAAGTCGAGAGTGCTCGACTATGCCTTCTACAGACTGCTCTGAATGGATAATCTTATAAAACCCGCTGGCGCATAGAAAATTTGATGTTTTTATCCCTTTACGTACACCGATTAACATGATTGACATTATACAGTGAAAGCTCTTCCAACGGAGTCTTCTATTAGGCAGACACATCTTGGACAAACAGCTATACTTTAAACATTATGAATCAGTCAACACCAATTCCTGCTCCATAAAGTTGACACTTCTCCGTCTGTCGCTGTCCACCAAAGAAGGTTTTCACTGTACTCTATACACCTATTTGTGTCGATGTATATTCTGTATTCTTCGGCCACACGGTGTATCAATTTTATTATTATTCAATTGAAACTGTTCAAATTAATCTGCAGATTAATTTGAATGCTGTCAGAGTAAAGGACTGACAAAAGCAGGCTCGTGACTATATGCTCGTGAAAGGGTCCGATAATCCTTATCTTCAAGTTAACAGCCACATTATTATCATGTCAAACACAATTTCATTTTATATATTCTTTTAATCTGTTCAATACTTGACAAAAATTTAAAACTTCAGCCTTTAACGAAAGTGCTACAAGCCAGAAAATAATAAAACATTTTATTATTAAATTATTGAATAAATGTTTTGATAATATCTTAAGCAATCGGCTCATGCACAGGATCAAAATGATTTGATAACATTTATGAACAATTTCTTGAACGAAAGAATGGGCAATTATTTTGACCAAAGTAGGCTTCTAAATTTGAGTCCACACAGCTGGCTCTCAGTTGATCGTCAATGTCATTTCCGGGAGCAATGGAATCGAAGCGTACAGTTAGTCGAAATTTCAAGGAATTTTGAGTAAACACACAAATTTAAAATAAAGCACAAACACATTTCTTCAGTAATTTACAAACGGTGAGTTTTCTTCTGGTTAATCGGCCAGCCTGCTTAACCCATGCAACTGCCTTGCAGAGGCAGTATCCCGTGCAGCAACAGAATGGCTTCAGGCATTGAAGTTTCAACGGAGTGCAAGGGCATCTTTGAGGAGATACGCAAGCTAAAGCAGCATCGCTATGTAATCTTCGCCATTAAGCAGGAACGCGAAATCAATGTGGAGGTGGTTGGTCGCCGCAATGCCAGCTATGATGACTTTCTTGACGATTTGCGTAAGGGCGGCCCCGAGGAGTGCCGCTATGCGGTCTACGATTATGCATACCATCATCAGTGCCAGGGCGCCTCCTCCACTTGCTTGAAGGAGAAGCTATTCTTGATGCTGTGGTGCCCGATGCAGGCGAAAATCAAGGACAAAATGCTCTACTCCAGCTCCTTTGCTGCACTCAAAAAGGAGTTCAATGGCGTACAAAAGTATATACAGGCCACCGAATTGGACGAGGCTTGTCGCGAGTGTGTCGAGGAGCAGTTGCGCGTCCTTGACCGCAACTGAGCGAACTACTTAACCAATAACTCTAACAAGAACAACAGCAACAACAACAACAACAACAACGCACACTTAAAAATAGCAATAGCTAGCAAAAAAAAACCCAGAAACAAAAAAAGAAAAACAAAATCAAGAACGCACCGATTCACTGGCACCCAAATTGGCATTCAAATTGTTGAGTTGCATATTAAGTAATTATCTTTAAACTTCTCGGTTGTCAAAGCATTATTCCCGTTACACATAAAGTTTTGCAAGCATCAAGCAACCATCTTTGCATTCCGACTCCTACTCCTCAGTCTGCGGCAACATGTGCCACATTTGCAGCCGGTTCCACTTGGTGGCAATTTGATTTGATTTTGCCGCTTCTAATGAGCCCATTTAACATTTGGCTGAGCGGCCACTGACTCGGCGCCTTAACTCTGCCAATCGCTTTCCACGAATATCATTTTCCAGCACCAACTGTTATTTATTGCGCCCGGCTCCTACATAGGCCCCACCCCCTCACACAACACACACAGCGCCGACGGCTTGACTAAAAATAATTTTTGTTGCCGTCGGCGGCGGCGTCTGAGTCGCTGGGGAGCAGGCAAAACTTTTGCCATTGAGACTTTTTATCTCATTCATAAATCATGACCAAGTTGCGAGCGGCGCCTCCAGCCCGCGGTCCGCCACCAGCAGCCCGCAGCCCGCAACGAGGCAGAACGCGCCAGTCTTTCATTTCATTTGGCGGAGCACTGGAATTAATCAAATCGAGAATGAGCACGTCGCCAGCTCAAATTAAGAGTAAGACTCAAATTTTCGACATTCCCCTGTTTGATGAGTGCAATAAGTGGAATAGTGGAGTAGTCGAATGGCAAAGGAAACTGAATCAGATGCCAGCTGAAGGGGTGTGCATCAAATGCAAATAGACAAACGATATAATGGCATTTGCTCTGCTCCTCGTGGCTGCGTTTAAGAACAATGGCAGCTCGTTTGGCCATTGGTTCGTTCCCATAAGGAGAATGGCTTCCCTTGCCGGCTTCCCCTAACGCAAGCGACGCTCTCTCTTCCTATCCTCTCTCTCTGAGCTCACGAACATTCATCATACGCCGCGTTGGCCGCCTAAAGACAACCAGGCAAATGCCGACATAACAAAAGATAATGCCATTGAGACTTGGTCACTGTCAACAAGGAAGTCGATAACGATGGGAATACAAAAAGAGCTTAAATCATGAACAAACAAATGGGCATGGCCATCTTTGGCACGCCGAAGACTAAATACCCTCGTAGACACTTAAATATGTCTGTGCCATATAATATTATAGATTGATTTGATAAACTTGTGCACATGTCAAAATATTTGAAAAACTGCACCATCCAATTACTAAATTTTGTAACGAAAGTTCAGAAATCGTACGTCCATAGCATCTAGTTACGATTTCTGTATACATACGTGTAAAGTTTTATGACGATAGCCTGAGAACTAAGGAACAGACGAATGGACGAATGGACTAACAGACTCACGCTTTATGTTGTCGGAAACATCTGCTTCTGGGTTACATATTTCGAGATGATTTGATAGGAAGGAACAAAATATACTATATATAAAAGAATCTCCGGTAAATGCTGCGTATTAGCTTAGCATTCTTTAAACATAGTCAACACAATATGCACACATAAATATACACACACCTTAGCACACACAGCTACACCCACACACCCAACCATATACACAATGCTTGGGTATAAAAATCAAAGCAAACTAAAAAGGGCACATAGCAAACAAAACACGGGCCAAAAATCCACGCAAATCTAGTGGAAAATTAAAATTTTGCCAATTTATACGAGTAACAGAGAAAGCAAATGGCAGCCAGAGCGTGACAGAGCATAAGGGGGAGAGAGATAGATGGAAAGAAAGGTAGCAGCAGAAGGCCAGCAACTGAAGGGGCGGAAGACCAAATTACGACTGTACAGTAAAACAAATGAATTTCGTTCGCTTATCTTTAAAGAGTAGAGTTTCAACCATTAACTGCTTTAAAATCTATATACACAATTCTTTGATTGGATTTTACCATTTTGTGTACAAACAAAAGAGATTGAGCAAGGCTGACTTCTAGCCAGGTTGGAAAATAATACATTTTCTTATTCGTGCTGTATCATTATGATTGCTATTTTTAAGTCTGCTTTGGCATTTTATTTAATTAAAAGAAAACCTACAAGAGTTTATAGAATTTACAAAGTATCCCCTTGCCACGTCAGTCAAGTGAGAATATTTGATTTGGCCGTTTCTCAATGGAAATAGGTGTGGCTAGGTTTGAAATATAAGTAGTACCTTGTTAGGCCGCCGTATTAAGTTTCAAGTTCAATTAGCTTTACCATTCCAAATGATGGTAAAAAATACAGATTGAATATCAATAATTATCGATTTTAGACAATTCTTTATAACCAAGTCCGCAAACTAGCCGGATCGAACCAGGAATTCTACAATAAAAGCTATATATACTTATATAAATATGATAATCTATATTCGTCAGCTCTATATTATCTATTAACTAGGATAAATATGGGAACTTAATTGGAGAATAATTTGCCTGGCAAACTTGGAGTAATAAAAGAGATATAGAAGTACATAAATGTACCGATGCGTTTCATAGTTTCTCTTTTATTTTATCAAGTAACAAACTTATATGCCCGAACGGACCCAATTTTGAAAAAAAAAAAAAATATATATATATCGAACAGTTGCTGGAAAACGAAGCACACGCGAATGTGTAAATGCCAGTAAATACTACTGGAACTAGTGGTACTGGTAATCAGAGTCAAATAGTGAAAAATAGTTACTATGCATGGTGAAGATGGTGTGCATGGTGTGAAGGGTGTGAAGCGTGCGCAGGGTGAGCATAGCGCGGATTAGGTGGTTGGTGTAGATGGTGTGGGCTATATGTATGTGCTTATGTCTTTGTATCGTTAGCGCTCTCCATGTTGGTAGTGGAGCGCATGCCAAGCAACAGAGGCGGCACGGGTTGCGGTATGAGGTCACGGTTGGAGACCATCCCAGGTGGACGACGAGAACGCTGCTGCTGACGTACGCTCCAGTGTAAACGATAAAATTCTTCCTCATCTGACATTTGGTCTTCGGAGTCTGACGGCTTTGGCTGACCCGGCTGCTTGGACACTTTTGTTGTGGACACCGAATCGCCTGGCTGTGCGCGCAACGTGGCCGAGTTCGGTGGTATGGTCAACATTGACTCCGGCTTTTGGAGGAAGCTCTTTGGGGTGAACTTCTCCAGTTCCATATTGCGCGGTACGCCTATCGGCAACTGTTGTCGCATACGCTTCTTGACTACACTGGGAATGTTGACGAGGGATCCGCGAAGGTCAGCAAAACTGTCCAAGCTGCCCACCGAATCCCTGCCCTGCTCGGCAAGGCCCAGCCGATGCATACGCTGCTTAAGCATACTATCAATATCCATATTTTGAGCCTTAGCATTCTGATTGGGCTTTCCGGTTGCACCGTGCACGTGATCGCCAACTGGTTGCTTGTTTTGCGCCTTCTTTATCAGCCGCCGTGCATTCAAGAGCGAGTCGGGAACTTTTGGGATGCTCCTAATCTGCGGCTGCAGCGATTGCTGCATACGCTTCTTTACAACACTGGCAATGCTGAAATCCGCAAAGTCGTCCAGGTTGCCCGGTGACATGTCCTCAGCTCCTTCAGAGCGACCGCTCTGGCTCAGGCGTTGCAATACTTGTGGCAACTGCTCCGCTTGCTGCTGCTGCCGTTGCATGCGCTGCTTAAATATGCTGGAAATGCTCAGATCGGAATTCCTGGCACCCAAGTCAGTTCTATCGTGTGCCTGCTCAGCCTCTGATAGCTGCTGCAGCTCCTGTTGCTGCTGCGAGCTGCTCGCCTCGTCCAGAAAAGCAAACTTATCGATGTAGTAGAGCTTCTCGGGCTGCTTGCCGCTGGCGGGGCTCATCTTGAACTCAAGCATTTGCAGCTTGTACACGTTCAGCCGATAGCGCATGCTGCTGATGCGACTGCGCACAAAGGAGGGTGTCAAATGGGCGCCCAGTTGGTTGCTAATATCTTGCCAGGCCTGACGCTTCAGCTCTGCATCTTCGTATTCGCTCAGCGACGTTTTCCACAGGCATGGATGCTGGCAATATAATTCGATGAGTCGTAAATGGAACTCTTCGTCTTGCGTCGACGGCAGCGTTTCTGCGGCACTGCTCTTGGCCGAGTCCCGGCGCTGTCGCTCGAGACGACGTGCTTCCATTTAGCCACAGCCTTTGGAAACCAAAGTCTATTGGAATATAAATAACTTAGTCCTTAGTCCGGAATATGTAAAAATGTCTACTACAACAGCAAATGCTAAGACAACTAAGAGAACTGTTAATATAAAAAGCCTTGTAGGGAAAAACGAAAACAATATTAAACAGGACCTAGCATATGGCTATTTCTCTTGTATTTCACAATTTGTATACCCTGAACCCATTAAAAATGGGTATAAGGGTATATTGTATTTGTGCGAATTCCAAATGTATGTAACAGGCAGAAGGAAGCATCTCCAACCCCATAAAGTATATATAATCTTGATCAGCATAAATAGCCGAGTCGATCTAGCCATGTCCGTCTGTCTGTCCGTCCGTATGTATGAACGCAAGGATCTCAGAACCTATAAGAGCTAGAGACTTGAAATTTTAGATGTAGATGCTCCTAGGGATCGAGTTTGTTTCCGATAATCGATAACTTACTCCGTTTCCAAGCAATCGATAAAAATCGATATCCTATTTTTTGGGCTATTTTGGTAAATGATAAGAGCTAGAGTCACCAAACTTGACATATAGCTTCTCAAATAAAATATACATACATATATATATGCATTTGATGTTGGAAGAAAAGGGTTCAGGGTATCCCCCAGTCGGGAGCTCCCGACTAGAACCTCTTACTTGTTTTGTTTATATATATTTAGTTGACCCGACCATGCTTAGAATATATTAACAGTTACCCATTGACATATACAAATTCCAGCGGAAACAATTTTTATAATTGTGAACTTGAGCGAAACCAATCCGATAAAAATTTTTTGAAAAAGTGTATGAGATTTAAAAAAGACAATAAAGTCTAGTCCGAAAAGAATATATTCAAAAGTGCTTTCTAGTGACAACTTTTCAGATGAGTTTTCTTTTCTTACATTATACAAAGTTTCCGCCTATTAAATACCGTTACCTGATTCAAATTCAAATAGACAAACTCGATGAAGTCAACTCGTCCATGACTTAAACGTCGCTTAAGATGTGTATAGGAAAGCAAATGGAATTTTTATTTTAGTTTTAACTTGTTACTGACTCTAGTAGGACGAATTTTAATTTTCCTAAATTTTTGGATCCAAAAAGTTAAAAGTAAAACACATAAACTTTTATTTCTGGTACATTTTCTATTTCGGCTGCAATAAAAACTTAGTTTTTTAATATGAGTGACGAGAGCGACCGTGTAAAACGTTTACAGGGCGCTAGCCGAAAAGGAAAACAAAAGAGAGCGCGTCAAGACGTCGAAGATATAATGGGAATGATCTACAGGGAAGCTGCAACCCCTGGCTGCAGTTCCAGATTAATGTCGTCTGATACCGGGATACTCGATCGAATTGACACAGTAACATTTCCCGGTCGCTATGTTACCAGAGTACTCAGGGTTCGTCCCTTCGAGGTGACAAAACGTTTTGTAAGGCCCCAGCTAGCTTGTGATCATAATTCAGAGCCCAATGCAGATAGTGTTGTAAGCAAACTGTTTGGCATTCAACAGTTACAGAATTTGCTGCTTGTGATAACGCCCACTTCAACGACAACGGAGAAGCACATCGTTCATGGTTATGCAATCGATGGCGAAAGGCATCTGGGCGTAACCAGCCTGACTACCGACGAAAAGGATCTAATTGTGAATACCCAGAGGGCTGACAACTATTCCATAATATACAGTTCGGACTATCTTGAGCTGGAGCATGCATTTAAAAAAACAGAAATTAAGAACCGAATCTTTGAAGTATTTCAACAAAAGCCCACCAGATCTGTCTGTTTAACTTACGCGGGAAATAATGTAACCCTTAGATACCGGCACTGTAAGCCCCAAAAAAAAGAAAAGATCACAAAGGACATCAAGAAAAAGACGCGTAACGAATTGTCGGCAGTGAATGAGGCTAATCCTAAACAGCATCTTAAGCCTGTCCGACATGATTGCCTTTCACGTCCGCAGCCGAATACCGGCCACAAGAACAATTCGATGAAGCAGAAGACTCTAGTAGGAACATCCTCACGTTTGCCAGTCGGAAATTGCAATCGCTTATCAAGCACTTCAATAAGGGCTCGTTCCCAATTGCAGGCTACCAAAGACAATACATCATCCACGCGAAGGAGCCCATTGGAAAATCGCTCACGTGCTTCCTTTAGCCCTGACAGTAGCAATGAAATATCGCGAGCTTCGTTGAATACGCCCCAAATGGCCTCCCAAAATCACAATCACAGGGCTAAATCTCGGCTGAGAACTCGTGACCATTCGCAGGAAACCATCGACAAGAACAATCCCAACCCGAAAGCTCACGGCAAACCGCAGGTTTCCATTAGTCCTAAGCCAAAGATGTCGACGAGGACCCACACAAATTCCCCAGCCACACTGGAAAAAAAAAATTCCGAACATAGGTCGCTGATAAAAAATCGTACCCATCCAAGAGTTCGAAGTCGTTCCAATTCAGCAGTAGCCAACGACAGCACGAGTTCAGTACAAGGAGAGCTAATTAGGAACCGCACCCACTCGATAATGAGAAGTCGTTCAGATTCACCGGTAGCAAACGGGAGCACTAGTTTGGTACAAAGTTCACAGATTAGGAATCGAACCCATTCGGTAATAATAAGTCGATCCGATTCGCCGGTAGCAAACGTCTGTAGCAGCGAGAATGGACGTCTTGCGAAAAAGCGTAAGAGCTCGCGCCATGGCGACGGTGATTGCAACACCCGCTCCAATCTAGCGATCACAGCCGAGGGCGGCAATACGGAGTCAAGATATCTTATTATAAATCGTACGCATTCGGGTTTGAGAAGTCGTTCCAATTCACCGGTAAGCAAGCCCTGCTGCAAGCACACGGACTTATACATGTCCATGGGAAATCGCGATGTCACGGGGAAAGTTTCGATTGAATCTCGCTTCCGTTCGCCGGTTAACGACAGCTGCAGCTCCGAGCACAAGCCTCTAGTTACCCATCGAACCTATTCGGCGCTGGCGAGAAATCGGTCCAACGAAAGCGACAATGTCAAGGATAAAAATGCCTTGGGCAAGCGTACCAATTCGTTCCTTTCCAACGAAAGCAGCGAGCTGAATATCAAAACTTTAATGAAGCCTCGCTCCAATGTGCCACTTACAACCGACAGCAGCAATTCCATATTGAGGTCCCCGTTAGGAAATCGCAACGACAGCAATGATGCAGCGAAAATTTGTTCCAATTCGCCTGTCTCGAACGAGAGCCAATGTTCCTTGAATAGGACTCCAGTGGCAACACGGATGAACTCGAACGCTTCCATCGTCAGTAGCGAATTAGAGTACCAGACTCCGCGGGGAACACGCTCGCCATCGCCGGTCACGAGCAACAGTTTCGTATCTATGATTCGGGCTCCATTGCCAGCTCGCACCCATTCGGCAAATTTAATTGGTGAACCTAATTCCAATTCGGCAGACACGGCCAATGGTAGGAATTCCATCTCAAAGGTACCAACGGAATCGCAAGTATCCATCGACAGCAACGATATTAAACCTATGTTCCCAAATGCCTTTACACACGCTGGGGACTCGGTTTTCTCGAACTGCGATCTAAGGGGTGATGGAATGGCTCAAGAGATTTCAGAAAAAGAAAGCTCCGGCTCGGTCGAGACCAGCTATATTTCATGCTTTTACTCCAATCCATACCCAACAGCAGGTCTGAATGCCGTCTTGCCGCCGGAGCAGGATGTGTTTAGCAGCGTGATGTCTATTAAGGACTGGGACTTGCCACACGGGTTCAATCTGCAGGATGTCACGGAAAGGAACATCAATACGAACGATCTTGGCCATGTGCAACAGCGCTTCAAACGAGGACAAGCAATTGCTAACGGTAAGGACATGAAATCTCCGGAGCTAACGGCATCACAGGCACAGCCGCAGCCCTACAGCAACAACCGTGAGCCTAAGGCTTCAACCAAACGAAAAATATTTATTCCCCAGCTGGATAAGGAGATGCTTTATCAGCGCGAGCGGTTGTGGAATTGTTGTGTAGGCCTGAACTCGAAGCGTCGCGTCAATTTTAAGATAGAGTCCAACAAAGACGCTGCCCAACTGACAAAGAAAATCGTACGTGAGGAGCCACCCAAGGTGAAATCCGATGGGGTTAAAGTCTTGTGGAAGCCGCACCCGCTGTGCGAGTCCGAGGGTGACATCTATATCCCATCCGAGCTGTCAAAGCTTAAATTTGATTGCTCGCAATCGATCATAAGAGCCAGATCATCATACTTTGAACGGCTGATGGATCCGGTGAGGGTGCCCCCCAATTTCTCGAAGCGTGCCTACGATCAGTTGCAGAAGAAGTTAAGCCGCATGACCGCCAAGCAGGCATTTGACAACCTGGCCAGACTCGTTGAAAATATAAACGCGCGGGCCATACCGCAGAACCGGCAACTGTTGACCTTCTTCAGGATTGCCGAGCTGCTGGAAATCAAGATGTATGTCAGGACCGAAAGCTACTGGACCGGCAGATCCCCAACAATCGATCCCCGCTGTCGATGCGAATGCTACATGTTCGATGATCGCAGCGAGTTCGTTCTATCCGTGGGTCTGCTATCTAAACAGTTGAACATATTTGCGGAACTGTTTCCTGGCATCAAGCCGAACATACGCTACATAGACAATGCCTTTGAGCTGACACAAATGCCAACCATGCTCACCAAATGCATTCGATCCGTTATGGTAACACTGCGTGCACAAACGCTCTTCAATATGATGGCAGAGGTGGCCTACGAGGTCCTCTCTCCGAAGGCAACGCTTCTCGCCCTGTCGCAGGAGAGGCCAAGGAAACCGAAGCCAATCGCTAAGTCCAAGGAGGAGGATACTGAGCTGCAACGTATCCTGGAAATCGAAGAAGCCAGACGTCAGCTACACAGACAACAGCAACATCCAGTAGAAGGCGAATGAATTTGTATAACATACAACATATATAAACAATGCATCAAATTATGCAAAAATACTTTGGCTTAGAACTTACAAATTTTACGTACAGGTATTCTTTTTTAAAATTTTACTCTCCTGAAGGATGACGAAACCCAGTCTACATTAATATGGTATGTATCTTAAGCTGAAAAATGTTGAAATGTTTATACCCCATCCTTACAGTAATTACATGTTGTAAATGCTTTTCACCAATACTAAATCAAGGCTACAAATTAAAAACCTAGCCAGAGAGTGGACCATAAGTCGAGTGAGGGAAATGCTAGTGGACAAGACACAGTAGCACGCCCCTTGCTCATCCGTTGTCCATTACTTACACGGTTCAGAGCACTCGCATTATTTGCTCTGGCAGCAAAAAAGCCTGCTAGTCGCATAGTTCGCTCATAGTCTGTCCCGAGAACGACAAAGAATATTTTCATGCTACGTAGGAATGAGCTGCAGTAGCTGCAGCTACGGAAGCAAAAGTGAGCCAAAGAACTCTGTGGAAAACTCTGTGTAACTAGGTACTTATGTGGGTGGGTAATGTAGGTAGGTGAGTTATTCAGAGAAACTCGTAAACATCAGTTGCAAAAAAAAAGCATGTGCAAAGAGCAAGCCGTTAACTGTTGGCAAGTTCTTGCTGTCCGTAGCCTCTGGCGGACTTGAATTGAAATTGGAAGTGCAAGTTGTAGCGCACATCGTTTGCAAAGAGTTTAGGGTCCTTGAGTATATTCGACACCCAACAGCAGCCCAGAAAGCAGCCAACCCAAGTTTCTTTAGGCTAAACGAGGCGTATGCCATTTAATCCTGAAAATAAATACAATGTACTAGGAACAACTGCAATACATTTAGTAGGAATCTTATAAAACCCAACCTCAGTTTCTTAATTAAGACAAATGAAAAATTTTTACAGTTATTGCATGTACGCTAAGGGCAAAGAATATTCTGTGTTTGATGTTTCTTTTAAAGTCTATTTTATTTCCTTTATAGTTGGCAGCTTTATAATAAACCTTTAATTTTCATTGGCATTCAATTAAAATTACTCAAGGAATGTATCGTACATTTAATTTTAATAAAGCCAACAAAGTAAAGCAAGCAAAATAGTTAATTATACACGAGCCGCATCACATTCCAGTTATGGTGAACAGGGCAGGGGAATACCGAAGCGGTGGAGGCGAGACATTTGCATTTGTCTGACTAATGAACGCAAGTAATTAGCTGTAATCGCAAGTTAAAATATTTCGAAAATTAATATTTCAGATATTCTAGGACTTGGGCCAAGCCGAATGCCGTTTAGGCCCATTTGTTTTTCTGTTTAGGACGTCTGGACGCTGTCTTTTTCAAAGTCGGACCTGGAGATAACCAACTGCCCACCCAAATTCCTGCCAACATTCGTGCAACACACGCGGCTGCCATTGCTGTAAAGTGGATCATTTTTCTGATGCACCCGTAGCGAATGGGTATATAATCAGACTACTTTAATGTGCCAAACTGGGATTAATCAATTTTAATTTGTATTTTTTTTTAAATTTTTAACTTTTTATTAAAATTTTGTTTCGGTGAAAACATCTAATCGCAATTAATTGTTCAGTATGTGACGGTGTATTGTAGATTGTAGATTGTATTGTATTGTAGATTTTCTTATTCCGGCTCGAAGAGTGAGCAGGATTTCTGTAAAAATAATTATAGAAAAACCTTGGTATACTTTGCAAGCACTTGTGCCCTTGTCGGCTTCAAAGATGCTTAGCCATAAGCGAATTTTAATAACTGTCAAGAAAGAATCAAACCTAATCGAATTTTATAGTCGAGTAATTAATTAAAGCTCAATTTGCAGCAAACTGTTCTAATTGATAATCATTAAGTCAAAGTTGTCCATATTACACAATATCCTCAATCGTATACACTTATGCAAAATATTTGTGGTACGAGGAATGGAAACGCAATGGAGCACAAATAAATATTTCAATGTACCCAAATACAAATCGAAAAGCTTTTTTCAACCAAATTACGAACATCAGAACAGTTACAAACAGGGACACTAATTGAATGGGCACTGGAAAGAGAAAGAGAAAGAGGAATGGCACGAAGTGAAGGGGGACAGCAACAGGAAGAGTCAATGTTAAGTCTCAGAAATTTGGTATTTTATGTGCTCGTAAAATGCCCTTATGATGCACGGGCCCCAGTGGGCATCCCAGTTGGGCTGCTGCTCAGTCGAGCAGGGTCTAGAGCATAAATCAGCCAAAGTATTTATGGTATATTAGCTCATCTAATCGCCCGGGCTACAACCTTCTGCCGGCAACTGCCGACCGTGGGGCAGAGCTCCAGCTGCTAAAGTGGCCGCCTGCCAATAATTTGCCAGTTGATTGCCATTGCCGTTGACAGTTTCCGAATACAAAAGTAATTAATGTTTTTTATGGTTTGTTGGCCAATGATTTTTCCGCCACGTCCAATGCTGCAGCTTAGTGTGAGATTTACTGTGCGAGGACGGAGACAGACGCGGAAGAACTTGACCTCAAATGCTCCCAAAACGATTGATATCACTTTAAATCCTATATGTGAAAATAATCAATAGCAGGAATTGTAGGAATGCATGTGAGTTAATTCTATTGCTAACATTTCCTTAGATGAAAATTTATTTCTAACAAGTAAGAGGTTATAGTCGGGAGCTGCCGACTAGGGGATACCCTGAACCCACTTCCAACAACAAATGCATATATATATTCTATTTTAAAAGCTATATGTCAAGTTTGGTGACTCTAGCTCTTATTATTTACCAAAATTGCCCAAAAAAACAGGATAACGATATCGATTTTTATCGATTACTTGGAAACGGAGTGACTAGGTCGACTCGACTATTGATGCAGATCAAGAATATATGTACTTTATGGGGTCAGAAATGCTTCCTTCTGCCTGTTACACACATTTGGATTTTGCACAAATACAATATACCCTTATACCCATTTTTAATGGGTTAATTAGTGCTAAAACTAACGAGTCAGTCCCGAAGCGTAAATTATTGCGCATATCTAACCATTTTTTGTCAGATATCAATTTTTGGTCGATTTTAGAAGCGAATTCTGAATGAAAATATTTATGGATTGCAATATTTTCAGTAGAACGGGCGATTCTCAATTAAAACTTAAATAGTTCATTAAGTTTGATGACTAACCATGCTTTGAACCAGCTTTGCGCATATGCAAAAATATGTCAATTCACAGATTATTACCCATTTTTCCCATGAATGAATGAAGTTTATGTTTTTATTAATATAATTTCCACGAATCGAATTGGCATTTGCGCACTTCTGTATAGAATTTACTATTGTGGTTAATTAAATTTATAGCTGAAACAGATCGAATCGGAGATGTCCTCCACCGCGCGCTGCTTCCAACTCTCGCAACTTAATTGTGCAATAAATGTATATTAAAATGGCTTTATTAACTGAGTTAATAGTAATGCGCATTCAAGGCTCACGCATTTTGTGGTTAAACAAATATTGTCAAGGGGGCATAGTTGCGGTTTTCTTTTGAAACATTGAGCACTCGTTAATTTGATAACGACTGTGCAGCTATGTGTTGTTTATTCAGCTGGCAAAAAATTGTTAAGCATACATATTGATGTAAAATAGTTGTATGTACATACGATCAAGCCAGCTTTTCACAATAACATTAAATGTAATTCAGTTTTCGTGGTTAATAATAATTAGTGCACATTATTTTGCAATTGCTTCTGTCATCAGGTGATTTATTTCGTTATATTTAAAATGTCAAACATAAATCGTATTTTGTTTATTTTTCGTACTGTCAACATTAAGCCAATAAATGCAAAGTTAAAAAAAAAAACGATAAAGAAGGGCTATCTTCAGCACTCCGAAGATTTTATACCCTTGCAGACCGAACCTATTCATAATGCACATAATGCTTTGCTCGTATCTAACAGCACAGGGAAATAGTTTCTGCCGAGTATGGTCTTGAAAAACAAAAAGTTTTCCATACAACAACTTAATTTGTACTTTTTGTGTCGTAAATGTCTCCTGTGTGTTACACAATTCGAAACAAAACTATATCACCCTCTGCATAAGAGCATAAAAACAAGTGAAAAACAAGTAAGAGGTTCTAGTCGGGAGCTCCCGACTAGGGGATACCCTGAACCCTCTTCTTCCAACATCAAATGCATATATATATTCTATTTTAGAAGCTATATGTCAAGTTTGGTGACTCTAGCTCTTATTATTTACCAAAATTGCCCAAACAACAGGATATCGATATCGATTTTTATCTCGATCTCGATCTGCGCGGGAACTAAGAGCATCTACATCTAAAATTTCAAGTCTCTAGCTCCTATAGGTTCTGAGATCCTTGCGTTCATACATACGGACGGACGGACAGACCGACGGACATGGCTAGATCGACTCGGCTCAAGAATATATATACTTTATGGGGTCGGGGATGCTTCCTTCTGCCTGTTAAATACATTTGGATTTTGCACAAATGCACCCTTATACCCATTTTTAATGGGTTCTGGGTATAATTAAAGCTGAAATTGCAGTGCATCAAATTGTTACAGGAAATTAAAGGCCAATTAAAACAATTGCATAACTTTTTCATTTGACTGCGATTTGTGTTAGTCCGTCAACTATGTTGCACATACGCCACATTGAGGCTGCGATTGGAGTTTTGCTAATTGTATTTAATACACTTGACAACGGGATGTATGCAGCTTTAGAACATCTGCTTAATTATAATTGAAAAACTTTGCCGGTGCCGAAACAAATGCATATTACATTTTAATTTCATAACGCGCACACAACACTCACAGATACTTTCGCAGAACCAACAATGATCGCTTGCAGTCAAGTGCGTCAAGCCGATGAATTGGTATTCCCAGATTACTTATCCATTTCTCTGCGAAATCACGTCATGAGCCGGCAGATGGTAGATTAACGGGAGTTGTTGAGAGAAATCCATTCGGCTTAGGCTATTAAGCAAGCTCTTTGCCGAGAAGATATTTTTGTACATGATGGTATGTGGATGTTTTTAAAGAAAAAAAAAGAAATTGAGTCCTTGACTGGCATATTAGATGCCCATCCGATGTTAGTTATGGCATGTTTGCTTAACTATAACAACCTGTAGGCACGACCAGCTCGTTGCTCGGAAGCCCTTGTCATTCTACTTAGAATCGTAATTTGGCACGATATTGGTTCAACATGGAGTACTCCGAATTTGGAAAGAAAGAAAGAAAGGTTGCGCTAATTTTCTATATTAAAACAGCTGCGGCTTTTATCAACATGAATAGATAAATTGTTGGCCATGAAATATCGCCCAAGTCTCTTCCATGGCAAGTTGCTTAACCATTTGAAATGGATTGCAAGTGAAAAAGGCTGGGCCAAGGCAAAGGCAAATCCAACGATTTAACATAGCATGGCAAGAGTTTCAGTTGACATCCGCCACTGTCGTTTGGCTGGCAACCCCATCCGCATCCTTCGTCCTTGCAGCTGTTGCTGTAGCTCTGCTTACAATGCCGTAGATGCAACCGTTTTATTTTATGTACTTGTCGCCGGATGAGTGCGTTGGACTTAAGCTGCTTAAAATGTCGCCCGAATCCACTAGGGCTGCTTTTATATATATTTGTCTGCAGTGTTCCGGCTATGCTTAAATCGTTTGACTGCCTGACTAACTGACTGTTTAGCCATTTGGCGGGTAAATCAAATTTCAACTGGTGACGGCCACTAAACAAAGCAACTGCCACTGGCTGTGCTCGCACAAACGGCAGCAGACCGTAGACAGCAGACAGCAGACAGCTGGACAGGCACAAAGGATAGTTTCAACAGCTGCAGACAACAAAGAGAACAATTACAACAGCAGCAAAATCAACAGTTGCTGCAACAACAGTGACAACAACCGAAGCTGCAATTGATTTAATGATTTTTGGCTTTTAATTTTGCCAGAACTTAAATTGGAAATTAACCACAAATACTCGTTCAATGAATAGCAATTTCTTGCCGTCAACTACTTCTCTTATTGGAAGGACAGAAGAGTATGCATCACCATCAACATCAGTGCCAAAGTGTACCTATGTGGCCTAGTCCCATCTAAGTCAGCAAATTTAGAAGCACACTGAGCACAGGTCGAGATTAGCCGGCTTATCAAACTTCTTAATTGCTTTTATTGTTGCTGCACTTTTTAAGCACGCATCTTGGTCGCAAGCACCTTGAAAATGCAACGCTTGCACGTTTCTCGAGTGCTTTCCAGGAAATACAAGCACATTGCCGTGTTAGTAGTTAATCACATCGTTCAGAATTTATTATATGATTTCATTTCAGTATTTGCACTCATATTTCACAATGTCCAAACAAGAAAGTCAATTATGAAATGTATATTTCTACATTAAGCTGGCTGCATGGCACCCAAAATAACCACAAAAAGCCGCAGTATTGTGCACCCATCTCCCATAACTGCACCTTAATGTTTTCTAAAAAACATGATAAGGAGGTAAATATGTATGACAAAATGAGCAAATATCAAGCCATAAAATTGCAGACTCTGGCAAATTAAACAACAACAG